TGAAAAACAGGCTTTAAATCATATGGTCTGCCACATTCTTTAGGAAAATAAACACACTACTCCACTGCCAGGCTCCTGAGAAGTGAGGAAAAGAGGTTTATTTTGCCAATCCCTTAAGAGCATAGGAGCTGGGGAGAGGGGAGGGTAGAGGGGGGGAGGGCTGGGTAACTAAACAGGGTTCAGGAGGATGGGGCTGTGTGACCACCAATCCAAGCAAACCCTCGTGGCGCTGAGGAGGCGGGAGGTGGACCGTCAGCCTCTGCTGCTGTCAGAGCCTTGGAGATAAGCAAATTACGCATGGAAAGCATGGAGAGACACGGAGGCGTTAATCACCACCCCGACATCAAATCAAATCAATTAGAGGTGGCCAGCTGGCACCTGAATGGAGACGCATCCCTCTGATGGATCCATATATCCCGCCATCCATTCATCCAGGGGCTCCTTCCGACTGAATGTGTGCAGCAGAGTGGATGGGAAACTGAGCGACATGACGCAGCTTCTATATTCGGTTCCATTTAGTTGTCATCATCTCGACATTTTTCCACTTATCGCAGCTCACTAATATGCCCCATTCACAGCGAGAATAGCACTGTTAATGGTCTACATACACTACAGTCTACATGTAGTAGCAGCCGCCATGTAGAGTGTCAGGTTGTCCTTGTAAGCCTCACATTCAAGTACGGAAATAGAAAGTGTGCATCCTAATCATAGCTCAGTAATACAATCCTCACACTCTCCTGCTGTGTGGCTCCCGACACCGCTGTTTGCTAAAATGACAATCACACTGGACGGTAGGAGAGGAGCTACTGGCACCGAGGCAGTTAGACCAGTTAGAGATGCAGCGATCCGACTCAAAGGATGAGCACAGTGACCAAATTAAGCTGACCGGGTATCTGATCCGAATTAAATATGGTTTGTTATAAAAGCCAGGGTTTCTATTCATTCTTTCACTTACAGCAACACTTATTGTAAACTCATGCAGTTTTTTTTTTTGTCACAATACACTGATGTGAAATTCAAAGGGAGCAATAGTATTGGACTGATACCGGTATCTGCAGCAGAACATCACAGAGCCACACATTATAGACGAAGCAACGGTGTCGACTTACATCTGAGCCATTTTAAGGCAAGAAGGGATTTTTTTTTCTGGACCTGAGATGAGTTTTTTGGGGTTTAACCCCTAACTTCTGGATGTTCTTTGCTCCTGTCACATTAATTCTCATTTTTTACTGCAATACACAGTCGTGACTCGATAATCGGACCCTTAACAATCTGAAAACCTTGCTATCCAACAGGTTTTTTGGAAAAACGAACGGAAACCACAATAAACAGCCTTAACATACCGACAGCTTTGGATTCAGACTCCGACATGACTTTTTATGTCACAAATAAGGATAACGGCGTATTATCTGACTGAACAATCCGACAGATTGGCTACGTTCAGACTGCAGGACTTAATGCTCAATTCAGATTTTTTGTGAAATCTGTTTTTTTTTTTTTTTCTGAGTCGTTCACATTTCCAATTAAATACGACTTGTACGTGATCTGCTGTGTGAACTTCATACGACCCAAAAGTGTCCCACATGCACAGAAGAGGACACAACGACGTCACTGGAAACAGAAATGTGACCGCTAACGAAACCAGCATCAGCAGCCAAGTCCTGCCTGTGCGCTCCGGCCACTTCCACGCCATCAGTGAACCGCGCCGAATATTCATCATTAATTCGGCCCAAATATCCAGGGCCCAGAAAAACTATTGGGACCAGCCCTACTACTTATTATAACAACTATTAACAATGAATATTAACAACAAATGAGCCTTCAAGCATCAAGCCCTCCTTGTATCTCCACCTCTGTCTTAACAATCAGACAGCCTTGCTATCCAACATAAAAGAAGGTTTTACATTTAGTGTCGGATTATCGAGTCACAGCTGTAAAGTCCTGCACCTCTATGAAAAACAGCAAAGCTTTGGCTGTAGAGAACTGGAAAATGTCTGTTTTGTCATAGCACACAGTTATAATGTTGTAAATCATTAAAAATGCAATTAAAAACAATTGAAGTTGATTATTTATCTTTGATTTTAGTGTGTTTGATTATTTAATTTGCAAAAAAAAATGGAAACAATATGTATCACATTTTTCTAAGTGCCCACATGTATTATCAGCCCTAGTTAAAAAAAAAAAAAAAAAAAAAGTTGGCTATACATAGTGTAGATGTTCTACATTTTTAGTTTCTCTTGATCCTTGTCCCCTATCGGCTTTGTGTAAACACAGTCTGCAGTTCAACCAAATAGTCCCATGTAGCTGTTTGTTCCTGCCAAGGGACTAATAGTCTTGTGAATGTTTGTCATATTTGTTTGTTTTTTTTTAATGAGAGGTAAATGAAGCCTTCTTGTTGAAATATCACAATTTCAGCCTTGGATTTGGTGAACCCAACAGAACCATAAGTCACACATTATCAGCTCAAGGAGTGTTGAAAAGTTGAACATCTGATGGTTCCAGTTGCTCCTACAGTGTCTATGGAGTAATATTGGCGATTCTTTTAAGAACATAACATACTGTTCAAACTTGCTGTTGGGTTTTAAGGTGCAGAGGGTAAAACAGAGAGACTTTATCTCTGACATTTCTCTGCCTACTTGGTCACCTAATGTATGGTTAATGTAATTTGGCCATAAACAGGCAAAGGGCTTCATTACAATACCAACAGCAGTATCAGTGAAACCCTAGTAATGGGAGAAAAATCACTTGCACTAATAAAAATGAAAGCATTAGAACGGTGAGAAGAAATGAGGGTCAAGGACAAGATGTGTGTTACTTTGACAGCCCTCAGTTTTCTAATTACAGCTCGCTGTATGGCTGGTTATTTTTTGAAACAAGCTGAATTATCCCAACTTTAGCTTGTTTCTGTAGCTGTAAAACATTATATGTGCTGTTAGTGGTGTATTATTATTCAAATGTATAAAGTCCTGCTCAGTGTAAGGCTTGGACACAACTCTTCAGTAATCATACAGGACAGATCTACCCAATCTGCTGATATGTTGTCTTTTTTAAAACTCCCCAATAAGCATCAATTCCAGCGTCCATCAGCACTAATAACTAAACTCGATTCTCACGCTGCAGCGTTATCGCAGCAGGATCCTCTTTCTCTCTCTCTCACAGGGCCAGTTTGCCTGCAACGACAGGAAGCTGTGGAAGTAGGGAGTTGAAAGAATTGGGTTTTCTGCAGGGTCATTCACTTGCCTGGCAACAGGCCAAACAGGACAAACTAACACAACACCACAAAGGCACAAAGAGAGAGGGAGTGGGTTCCACCTGCCCCGGCGACCACAGACAGCGCTGAGCTTGACAGGGAGCTCTGGCTGAATCCTGTCTGCTGTCTGTTTCTTATCCGCCCCGCCAGCTCTACTGTAGCCTGACAAAAAACCCCTCCAAAGACCTGCCCATGCAAATGTAAATGGCTGAGAGTGAAATGTGTGTTTATTTTGGCCCGTGTGATTTGACAAGCGTGAAATTAATTCCAAAAGTTTGGTGAAGGCCCGCAGCTACACAGAAAACAACCCTTTTCTTGCCTTGATAGGGCCTGTTGAGGTATGTCAGCGCTGACCCACAAACCATTTAGCCATCCTAACATTTGGAGCTCTGAAGTCGTTCACTATGGTTGTGTGCTGCCATTCTCACTTTCCTTTCCTTCACATGGCGCATCACACATGGCGTTCGCACTCACACATGCTCTCGCTCACACAGTGGTCTCCACTGCGGGGTGACTGGGGGCTACAGACTGATCCTCGGCAGATATGACCTACTTTCTATTCAAGCCAGTGTCTCTTTGTTCCCTCCACGTTGGAGGAGGCTGCTGCAGCCTGTGGAACAAAGAACACAAGCAGCACTTGGAGCCTTCAAACAAGCTGACCCTGCCTAGATACAGCCGCCCCAAAAATGGCTCATGAAGGCAGCGCTGCTCGGACTCCCACTGTCTTCAAATCTCCTCCTTTTTCTACTTTGATCTACCTCCGCTGCAGACGAGGGAGGATAAACCCCAGTTCCTGCAGTCTTCCAGCCATTCTACTGGCTCCGAGTGATGAGACAGATAGCACGGAGGCAGGAGGAGGCCTGAGTTATCAGCGTGGGGACGGGAAGGACAAGGGGAGGGAGGAAATTAATTTAATGTTTTCACTGGGGGGGCTCAGGAAGACTGGATCCCCACAGATACCAAACCCCTCGCAGAGATAATCTGTCTCAAATTAGCTTTGGGTACAATGATACCTTTACACACCTTCCTGCAGCACAGCGTCAACAAGTTTAAAAAGCAAAAGCGACAACAAACTTCCACAACCAAGCAGTCGTGTTTGGCATTTCCTTGTATTAAATGTACCTGAAGACTCTCAATTACAGAACCCTCCATTTAACAGCGAGCTGTGAACAGACCATTTAGTCTTTAATGACCTAACTGGAACAGCTGCCCCTCCAAAAAAACATGCCCATCTGTACGAGCCAGCCAAATTACGCTTCAAGGGCAGCAGCAGAAGATTTTAATAAGCACGTGCAACTGTTGATGCTTTCATCAGATCTGCCAAATGATGCACAAAATTGTTTGAGGTAGAGAGGTGCAGCGGCTGATGAACGAAGGCAGCCCTGCAGGAGACGGTAAGTGGAGAAACCGCAATCTCTGAACATCCAATATGACAGAATCTGATGGAGACAGGGGCAGTTATGTGTAGCCGGTTCAGGGACAAAATGAGGGTGAGATACAAACCAGGGAGGACTGAAGAAAAGGAGAGGATGCACATATAAGAGTCCAAAGATGGACAAAAACAAACAGGAGTCACAAGAGTGGGTAGTTTCTGTTTGGACGGCTGCAGAGGTAGAACTACAGCTGTTAGCCTGCAGGGTGTTTGATGCCTAAAATAACACCGTCGCATTTTTGGAGTTTTTCCAATTAACCACCGAAGAACACACACAATCAGAACTCACAGCATTTCTAAACAAAGTCAGCATCTTACCTGCATGTGTTCTGTGGAGCTGCTGCTCAGCTCGTCTCCAGACTCCGAGTCGTTGCGGAGCTTGTTGAGCCCGTCTCCTGGCAGCTCGCTCGGAGGGGAGGTCTTGTCGGCGTCCGGACTCTTGTTGTGGTTGTTCCCCACCTTGAGCGGAGGTGAATCAGCCCGTGTCCGTGGCAACGTGGAACTGTTGGCGTGGTGATGGTTGTTGTTGTTGTGAAGAAGCACCAACTCTGCTACCAACTTGCAGTGATGAGGACTCCCCACGTTCTGGTTAGCATCCTTGGGCAGGGCGGGCGGCGTGACGCGGTCAGAAGATGGCGAGGGGGTGGAGGAGGGCGACGGGCGCCCGAAGCTGGACATTTCCGGCTGAGGCCTGTTGAGGTTCTCGTTAGAGGCCCGGCAGATATCCAAAACGGTGGGCTTGGCCCTCAAGGCGGGTTTCTGGGGGGGCATGAGCGCCCGGCGCACCTCCCTGACGTACTGCGCCGGCACATAAAAGGCCTTCGTGCCCTCCTCCTTCCTCACCTGCCACCAGTCCTCGTTGGTCTTCTTCACCAGCATGTAACACTCTCCCTGGCGGATAGTCACCATCTTATCTTTGGCCTTGTACTCGTAGTCGTACTCCACCTCGATGTAGACCTGGCCCGGGGCGATGGGCAGCCCCTCTCTGTCAGCCATGACTGCTGGAACAAGCGCTTGAACTCTGACCTCAGCTGCTCAGCAACCCAGACCTGGAGGGCTCCTCATGTCTGTCTGCAGGAGATAACACACACATTTTTTTCAGCGTAATATCGCAAGCTATATTTTTAAAGGGCAAATGACATGAACATACACCCACTGAACGACACACAAACTCTCCTATTTCATGCTGCGAACCTCTCAGCCTGTCACACACCAGCTTATTACTCACCTGATAACCACAACCACAAAGTGCTGCTGCTGCTGTAACGCACTCACATCCACCACCAGACGGACATACAGTACCGATGAGTCAAGTAAAGAACACTGCAGGGCAACTCCTCCCTCTGATCATCAAAAGCCACAACAGACAGTCAACACTGATTGCTCTGGTAACCGATACGACCGCTAAGGATATCCAGCCTGCAACCTGATCACCCTCTGCGGAGCTGGCGGTGATGACAACATGACCCCACACACTGATCCCACATGCGATCCAGTGACTACAATGAGCCCGCATCCAAAAATAAACTTTTACAGGAGTCCTGCGCTGTAGTTTGGTATCATTACTCATTAATGCAGCAACAGAACACAGTCAGGAACCTTTTAAAAGCTCGAGGCGATCTTCTCGCTATATCATACGCGGCCGGTGTGGGAGTCAGAGGACAGCTGGGCCCCTCGTCATTCCTGCAGGGTTTGTTTTGGGATGAGGCTTGTCATTGATCCGTCTGTCAGAGAGTATCCCTTCGTCGGTTAACCTAAATAAATACCGAGGCCGCCGAGCCGCGGCTCCCCTCATATCAAATTCTCCTTCTTCCTCCCTGAAATAGCCGAGGACTGACATCCTGGAAGTGCAGGCGGTAAAAGCAGGTGCTTTTAGTGAGGCGTGAGAACATGCTGCTGAGTCTACAAGGGGCCCATCCTTATGTAAAGGAATACATACACACACACTGTGCTGCTCAGACTGACAGCGAGACACCCAGAATAGATTTACAGAGCTGAGAGGCGTCTGGGCCAGACTGGGAGCCCTGAGAGATGCTCATAATGAGCTTAAATTGTTTCTGTTTCATCTGTTTCAACACTATGAAGCACACACACGTTACATCATTTGTGTGTGTGTGTGTGTGTGTGTGTGTGTGTGTGTGTGTGTGTAACAGCAGCCCAGTCCAGGCCTGTCCCAACACGAGCCCCAGCCATGATGTCAATGCACACAAGCCCAGGCCTTTATGAATGAATGAGTGTCTCTGGAGCAGCAGCCTCTGTCTGTGCTAATTACGGTGTGTCTGACTGTTGTGCAGAAACCCCTCATGTGACCCCCCCTCCACGCCACACAGACACAATCCACAGTTCACACTATCAGCAGAGGTGCCAGAGATGCAGTCAGGAGTCTGTCAGAGCTTTCAGTCACGCACATGATAACAGCCCTATCAGTGGTGTTCGTCTGACAGCAACCGTCCTGACCTGTGAGCTCACAGAGCAGATTGTGTCAGCGGCGTGAGCTTCAGCCGCGCGTCTCTGATCAAGGATGTAATAAGTGATGCTGGAGCGGGAGAATGTCACACTGTTAGTTGGTCGAAGATAACTCTATCTGTTGGGTAACCATGATGGAGTTGGAGACACTTATCCGCTAGATTATGACTCCCAGTATAACCAAAGCATTTCCCAAACTGTGTCCGGGAGCTGATTACTAAAGTAGCAACAAGACAAAGCAAGAAAATGAAACTAGATGTTCAACTGTGGACTAATGGAGGCACAACAAAACCCAGAGGAACCACAAAAACCAGACAGGAACTGGCTGGAGATCAAGCATGACATCAGTCACCTTGGCGGGAGCCCAGAGCCCCACTACGACGAGTCACTTCTGTTAACCATGAATTAAAACTGACTCCTCAGACGGCAGAAACTTACAGCTCCCTGCTTCTCCTCTCCACTGCTGCGGTGTGTCACAGTTTTGGCAGAGGACTCGGGAGAGTAAATTTTGTTGGAAATGAATCCCCGTCACTACGAGTTCGGTGAAGCCTCAGAGGAGCGTGCCAGCCAACTTGTTGCTCCGTCAAGATTTATTAAAGGATGTTGTGAAACTGCTTGATTTGGAGCTCAACAACCAAAAAACTTGTGTGGTTCCAAAAGCAGGGCCAATCTGAGGCACATGAGCTATTCTGCACACAACCTCAACCAGAATCAATAATCTGATGTGGTTCCCTGGGGGGGGAAAAATAACTATTACAGAGAGAAATTGTTGATGTACAAGGTGTTTGAGCTCCCTCCTCACATGGCTCTGCAGTGCTGCACACCAGCAACATGAGCAAACCAGCTGGTTAAGTTACAAACATCCACCTGTTTAAGTGGCATCATGGCACAGCTCTGGAGTATGAACGTGCTGGAGGGGGGGGAGATGGTAGAAGCTCTGCATCAACAGTGAGATCACGACCTGAGCTTTCCTCTGCGTACATCTGCAGACCAGCCAGTGTAGCAGCAAAACACCCTGAGACCGCCTTTGTCCCTGTGCTTCATTCAAAACAGATGTGGCCGAGCAGCATCCACTCCAACATGTGCTGCTGCTGCTGCTGCTGCTGCTGCTGCATTTCAATCCATCTCTGCGGCATATGTGAACAAGCACCGCATGGAAATGGAAGAGCCCCCAGAAACAAGCAGCCCGGGTGTTTGGTAGGGGGGCTGCGAGGGGAGACGTGCCTGGGGCGGGTGCTGAAGAAGAGAGGAAGGGGGGACATAGGTGGGGGGCAGGGTCCCTTCCCCAGACTGCAGAAATACAACACAAAGGAGTTTTAATCCATTCATGACAAAAGGCTCCGAGTCCGCATCACCGAGGATTCCCAGGAGCGAGGGCAGGGCAGGAACGTGCCTGCCGGAGAAGCCCCCCCACCACCCCAACCTCCGCCCCGCCGGGACGAACAGCCAAACACACCGCAGGGAGGGAAGCTCCGGAGCCCCGCACACTGATGCTATCACGTGGAGGGTTTAATTACCCACCTGGCTCTACGTTTAAACGGTGAAATAAGGAGGAGTCGGTGTTTTTCTCCCGCCCGGAGGCATTCCTGTGACAGTTTCCAGAGGCTTCGTGTGCGGACAAAAGCGCTGCAGGTTCACTCGGATCCGAGGCTCCGCTCTGCAACAGCGTGCATAGCAACAAAGTGAGTCCGGCTCAAGCCAATAGCCGCTCACTGACCGCAGCGCCGCGCACGCACCCGCCGCACTTACCTTCACAAACTCCGCTCGTGTCGCTCTTGTGCTCCGTCTCCACCGCAGAGGGAGTCGGGAGGAACTTTTCCCACCTATTTCAGTGTCGGCTGCTCCGACTGAGTCCGCCGCAGACCTCCGCTCTGTCGCTCTGTTCGCAATCCCCCGCCTCTCTGCGCGTTGTCAAGCTGAGGGCGGAACCACGGGCAGCATCCGGGCGGCCCTATCAAAGTAAAACCTTCCTGAAAGATTCCGATCTGGTTGTACAAAAGTGAATAGTAAATAATTTTCTTTTATTTTCTTCATTATTAGCACTTCTCCCTTTTATCCTCGGAGTATTTTTTTAGCGAATGACAGACATGATTTTGCTCATTGTTGCTGCAGTACTGTGTATGGAGTAAAAGCAGGCAAATGTTTTGCACTGCTGTATATTTTTGCACATTTTGAGCTTTGCACGTTTTCTTTACACTATTCTTTGAATCTTCAATATTCTTCTCTCAGTATGTAGGAGTAGATGCAAGGTATGTTTCAACGAGTGCATTCTGTACATAAGTTAGTAGAGACACAGTGAGCTGAAACTGTAATTGCACTGATAATTATTTTATTGCTGCATATGGCAAGAATAAAACAAATAATTATTTTGAATAAATGTTCTCATATCAGCTATATCTACAAAAAATGTTTTTGTTTGTTTGGTAAATTACGGTGGTATTTTTATGCCACAACTTTCCAATTTGTGCAAGTCTCCAATCTCCATTTTCAGTCTTATTTTTTCTTGGCATGCTGTTTTAAGCTAAATTATACTTCATATTAGCTATGTCTCAATTGTGATCTTGTTGGAAGGCTTCGTACGCAAACCTAGTGCACAAGGATGGAGAACAAGAGGTTGTCGACATTTTATAAAAGTGGAAAGAGCCAGCATTTCCTACAGTATATTAGCTGAATCGCTTTGTGCAGAACAATAAACTATACAGTAGCACAATCTCCACTTCATCGTGTCTATATGAGATCCAATCACATCAAGGAAATGCTCGTTTCCAGTTTTTTCTGTAATTTAACATTTCCAGGCTTTTATTTTGACGCAGGAACAGACCTAATGTCGGTAGTTCGATTTGAGCTTGACGCAGTGGTGTCTTTGATCCAGCAGACGCTGCTCCGTCGCTCCCCCCCGCCCGTCTGTCAGCGCTGATAGACGGCGTCCAGAGCCCCGCGGCCGGCCTGCCCTCTCCCGGTGCAACACCTCACCGACCGCGGCTTCCCAACAGAAGGTCCGCGGACACTCAGGCGGCCGCTCTGTTAAATCTGGCATAATTTAAATTTAACTTTTGAGGCCATCACTGCTAGTATAAAAATGACAGTCAGCCCAGGAAGGATTCACTCCCTGAAGCAGGATTTTTTAATCTAACACTCTTTAATATCTTACAGCCTAACATAACCAAATGTAGTGGGATAAATGTGTAAAGATCCCCTCCCTCTCCTCAGCTGATCTGGCAACCCCAGCAGGGAGTTTCACCATGCAGGCAGGATCATGAATGATTTAGTGCTCGGATGATCCAGGAACACAGCAAGTCTTCAATGAAGAACACTCGCTCAGACTATAGGAGCAGGGAAATTAGCCTCAGGCGATAAAACTACAAGTTTACATTATCGCAGAATAATGTATGAGTGTCTATGTAAAAAGCAGAGCGGTGTGTAAAAGCACAGCCTGTTGGTGTGAGCAGGGAGGCGACAGAATCCAGTGAACTCAGTCTGGTTTAGTGACTGAAATGTGTATGATCGGGGACATGATCCAACACCATAAAGAATTCATTTTAACTTTCATTTCAAGGCCTTCTATATACTCCTTTTACCCATTTCTGCTCGTTTTTTTAGTGAAAAAAAAAACACATTTTTATGCTTTCGTGGTAGAAAATAAATTCAACAAAATGACCTTTTAAGTTTCAATTTATTAGATCTAGAATAAAAATTTAAGGACCAACAGGCTTTTTTTTCACCAAAACAATGAAAGTGCCTTTAGTTTGAATGACAAATACAGCTGTCTGTCTTGCCCTGATATACGAGAGTTCTCTTCAAGTCTTAAATAGTCAGTAGATAGCATAATTTCAAATACAGAAAAAAAAAAAGTCAAGCAAAAATAAGGCAGAGCGCGCAGGAAAATAAGGCAGGTTTTACTTCTGCATATCTCTCTCAGTTCTTACTCACCTAAAGGAACAACTGCAGCATCATTTTTGACCCATCCAGATGTGGTTACAGACGCATCTTTACAATACTCTGAACGTGATAACAAAAATGCAGATGAGGGATGTCTGTGATGCTGCACCACAGCCCCGCCTGTGCAACCTCCAAAAGCAATTACACCTTATCATCTTAATATGACTGAATACTTGATTATATCATATAAAGTGTGTTCTTTGCAACTGCTGCATCAATAAGTGTTCTTGTAGTATTTCTGACTCATGTCATATTTTGACCAATCAACCAGTTTACAAAGAAATCCTCTGAGAAATGTTAAAGATCAGACAAACAAGACGGTTTTAAATCTTGTTTTCCATCCATATGTACATTCATGTTGGCACAGTTCAGCCTAATGTCCTGCTGACATGTGTGCATGTGACAAGAAAACACCAGGAATGTAAGTTTTGACTGCTGGAGAGCTTAAAAGTCTTAAAGCTTAACAGAGCAGCTGCACAGCTTAGGCTTATATACAGTATGTACATATTTTGACATTGGAGGAGTGGTGCAATGATTCCAGTTCAGTGCGTTGGTCTGGGCGTTCGGCTTCATGTCCTCAGCTGTGGGCGAAAACACACAAAAAAGAAATTACATGTACAGGTTATCTCTCTGGACGTCTGATCTGGACGAGGAAAATACATGTAAAATAACAGGAAATCTAGTTTAACTGAGCACGACTGAGTGTTCAAGCGCACGTCTTCAGCTATAAAATAAAAAAGCATGAACTGTAAAGGAACTCGATGTCTTCTTGTCTTGCCTGCTATTGTCTCCTCCTTTAGGCTGGTTGTTCTGGATGAGGTTGGACCTGTTGACGCTGAGGTTTATGGGAGCGCCCGGCAGCTGGCCTGGTCTGATGGGTTTAGCTGTTTCGGACACAGAGATGAAGTACGGGTCATTTACACAGCAAAGATGCTAATAACTAACATAATGAATAAAATGTTTGTTTTCTTTTCGAGAACTAGATGAGAAGTTGGACACCACTCTTCAATCCATGTGGTAAAGTTCTTCTCTAGTTGTTTATTTAACTTCCAAAGTCTCATCCCTGCATATCAAAGTTACATATTTACACTTTTTTTTTTTTAATCATGAATCCTTTTCTGTCTTAAAACACTTCAGATGTAACTCTACACTGTTCCTTCCTCCAGAATGTGCAGCTCAGTGAAGTCCCTGCCTCTACTTTCCATTCACCCCATCCCATTTGCTGCAGCCTGAGCACACCAGCTCACCTCCAACTCTGCTCAAACACTGTGAAATTACTTGTGTAATGACAAGTCGCGATACTGGAATAATCTGGTCATACATGTTCGAACTGGGAACTGATACTTAAGGAGAGTAATGATACAGGAAGTCCCATCCTGAAAGCTGACTTGATTGGTTCTTGATATTTGTTACATATGAAACCCTGGAAGTCTGAATCGATGTTTTTGAGACTGTCATCAGGATCCTGCAGTTTCAAAGTGGAAATTCTCATCCCTGGTGGTCACTGCTTATTTTACCCACTTTGTTGTCTTCTCGCATGTAAAGAACTTCATACAGACATGTTAAACTAAAAGGCTTGATTTTTACTGGAGGGGGTCTTTTAAGTTTAGCGCTAGCTTAGCATAACAAGTGGAAACTACTAGCCTAGTTCTGCCGGAACAAAGTTGTCTTCTAAGTGTTTAACTTTAGTTAAGTTTTACTTTTTATGCTAATTTATGTAATTACAGATTACGTAAAAACACTATTCTCAAGGGAGGAGATGCTACTATTTAACCTCAAACCAGCCACATGCTAATTGCTATTTCATTTCTCTCACCTCTGGCCCACTCAAGACACCCAGCTATTATTTCTACCAGCCCACCGAAACGCAGCAGGCTGCAATCAGCCCCTCGTCAGCATTCAAAGCCAGTAATTTACATGATGTATGTCCTTTGTTATTATGCACATGAATGTAAAAATGTCAATTTGTAGTTTTAGTGGGAGTTGTGTGCCAGATATAATACAAGAAAATCTTTGCACCCGGCTATTGTTTGCAAGAAATAGTTATGATGTGGAACTCTGGTTTGTGTAGGGATTCAAAAATGGCACAGAACATACTAATTACTCAGCCTTCAAGCTGCTTCTTTGGTGTATTATTGACATTTGGACAGAGCTATGCTGGCTGTTTCCCCGAGCCTGTAGGATTTATGCTAAACTAAGTTAATTGCACACTTACTTAAAGCATCTAACAGTACAAAACAAATAAGTGTGTCCAACAGCTCCATGTAGATGTCTTTTGGCTCAAAAGTTTGTTTGGTTTTGACTCATTAAAAAATTCACAGACTAATTAATTTGTACTTCACAGTAACTCAACACACTGACTTGCACATTACCACAGTTGTAAGATCCAAATACGTGTGGATGTCCATCTACCTATCACAGCTGAGGCCCTCCTGCCCATGTTTTTGGGCTTGACGGTGTCCTTAATGCGCTCCATCTCCTGTTGGTAGCGCTTGCGGTCGCGGGCTGCGTTCTCTTTGGCCTCCTTCAGGGCAGCCTCCAGGGCTTTGACCCGCTCAGCTGTGGCCCGCAGGCGCTTCTCCATTTTAGGGATCTCACAGCGAAGATCGGCGTTGTCTCGTACCAGCTGCAGAAAAACAGAACGGGGAAGACAAAGAGCGAGGAAACGGAGAGCTTTGAGCCTCAAGATGCTGATTGCTGGTGAGAGTGATGATTGTGTGTTTGCACTGATTTTGACCTGCTTGTGGACTCTGGTGAGCTCCTCCAGGTTGCTCTCCAGGAAGCTGATCTTTTGTTTCTGTGCAGCGCTGCCCTCTGTGTCCTCTGAGTCCATGTTAGCGTTCTGTCAAAGCACAAAGAGCTTCATCTGTACACTGATATCTACACATGCTTTGTTTAATGGCATTCACTCCAACTTAGTGTCAATAAAGAATTCTGTAACCAATAGGCCCCAGTCCAAAGCACCTCGTTTGTGGCTAAATGAGGTGTTAAGAATCAGATTTTGGATGTGTACAACACCACAACGTGTTCTGTGTCTTCCAGGAAAGCCTGCCCTGCTTCTGTTTATCTCACCAAGCCCCAGCCTGAAGGCTGCAGATGAGCACCACGCCGAGGGCCCAGATCCCTAATTTACAGCTGCTACCTTTGAAGAATCAGATGGCCTACTTATTGCACACACTTTCTGTTGTGTTCCCTGGATTCATTAAAATTTCATCATGGTGCAAATTAAATGGAGTGCAGCCGGTGCATGAGCGAAAATATGGAGCCGTTCGTCTCATTCCAGGTAAACGCTGTGGTCGGGGCAACAGGAGCTCCTGTGATATTACACCAGACAGGAGACTAAAGCGCACACAAAACTAGATCACAGGATGATGATTACACTGATAACAAAGCATGGCAACTCTCACAGAACAGGACAACACAGATCTACTGCAAAACGTGGAGTGTGCTTCATCACAGGCCTCATTCACGACGGGCTTGAACGTGTCTCAGCGACCACGTGACTGGATCTCTGCTCTATATGCACAATAAATACATCATTTCTGTTCATAAAGACCCACTGTGTTGTTGTTTCTAACTGGCAGGAGGCAGCATTGTGTTTCCTGTAGTTTGTGCTTCGGCTTGCTTAGGAGACATCAGTCGGTGCTCCTTTAGTGCGACACATTCACATAAACACAGCGACAAGAATATGGACACATGTGACCACTTCTGAATATGACTGATCAGGTCTCAGTGTTTTAGGAGCATCTCCAGCTGCCCACTTGTGATTAGACTCCCTGAGATGCGTGTTAAAACGAGGTGCAAACAGGGCCACAGAAACACAGTGAGGACTTTTTACCTTTTTCAGCCTGGTGGCCAAGTCTTGGACAAAGAGCCTCCTCAGGTTGTGGAGCGTCTGCAGCTCCCGAGCCTGAAGGACGGCAAGAAAAAAACAAGCTGAGAGGCAGGAAAAACTACGTTTGTAAGCATTAACGGATCAGAGTTACCTAGACTACAGGATATCTACTTCCACCACCAATTAGAGCTCTGAGGACAGAGGGTGTGTATGTTGCTGTGAGGAAAAATGTGATTTATATGGTCAATAGAGTTTAATCTGTGGAGCTCAAAGCTCACAGCAACTCATGGCCAAGAAAACAAATCCACCATCATATTGTGGTCACTATAACTTGTAAACAACCCAAAAAGTGATCCAGACGCATACAGATAGTAGCAGAAAGGCCGCTACATTAAAGGGAAAGTTTTTTATTGACATATTAAGCTCATAGTGCAAAACCAAAAGAGACATCGTTCAACAGGAACTCCTGATAAAATCATCATAAAAAAAGCACAAATAGAAACAAAACACTGCATAACTTAAGATGACTTTCTGTAGTTAACTTAAATGTGGAACTTAAACTTCACACTATAATGTGAATCTAATCCACTCTGAGATTATCCACTAATCAACTCCTTTATACTGATTAGTCCGTTTTTTAGTCTTGTTCATATGATTTGATAATATACAACATGTTTTTGTCTTTGGAAGTACAGCCTATAAGTTATCATGAGGGAGAATTCCACCCAACCGGTCGAGGCAGATGGCCGTCCCTCCCTGAGCCTGGTTCTGTCGGAGGTTTTTTTTTCCCCCTGCGGGGGTTTTCGGTTCCTTCCCACTGTTGCGGACTGCTTTCAGACTGCTGAAGCTTATAAGGAAATCCAAATGTCTTGGATTGTTGGGTGTATCTGCCTTTGTTAAGCGCTATGAGATGACTTGTTGTTGTAAAAATGTGCTATACAAATAAAATTGAATTGAAATTGAATTGAATTCTGACTCAGATGACTCTATCAGCGTAACAGCAGACACTACTTACCCTCACTATGCTGACTTTTAATGCCAACATGCTTCAAATGACAATACTATCACACTGATGGTTAGCAGGGATATGATTTAACATGTGTTCCATCTTAATTTGCTCGCATGTTGTATTTACTCATTTACATTAAACAGTTCATTAGTTTCAATACAACTGTGACTGATGAAAATATCGTTCGGTAGATAACGAGTCATGAAAACATACTGAAAAATCTGATTTCATAAAACGTTACTCTCCCACTTTTAAATGCATCCATCTGATACTGATGGAGTTATTCCACCCAAGGACACAAATGTTAACTCTAAGGTGGAGCTGCAAGAAAAGTTCCAATTTCACAAGCTCCATCTCCTGGAGGCCCTAAATGTCTGGACATACTTTTCTGGCAATCCATCTGATCGTTAAAAAATTTCAGTCTGGACCAAAGCAGTCTGGACTGACTGACCTGCGCCGCCTTTGAGCCAAAGGATTTCATCAACCAGATCTTAGTTCATTCTGCTCTTCCAGTTTTGCTGAATTAAATATTTGCAGTTAGGTTTAGTTACCAGGACTGGATCAATATGTGTCAGTAGAATTTTGAAAATAGAATTTTTTGATGCAGAAATGAAATAAAATATTTACTTCTTTTGTATTGGTGGAGGCAGGAATCTCACAGTGCCTGGATTAAACTCTATAGATACCACATATTAGGTTATTAAATAATGACTGTGGCTCAGATGGTAGAGCGGTTGTCCTGGTTGGTGGTTCGATCCCCGCCCCCTCCACAGTCGAAGTGTCCTTGGGCAAGACACTGAATCCGAAGTTGCTCCAAATGGCAGGCTAGCGCCTTGCATGGCAGCTCTGTCGCCATTGGTGTATTAATGTGTGTGTGAATGGGTGAATGAGAAACATTGTAAAGCGCTTTGAGTGCCGCAAAGGTAGAAAAGCGCTATATAAGTGCAGACCATACAAGTGCAGACCATCTTTTCTGATTTGGGTGAATTCAGCCTTTAACTGACCACAGTCTCCTCCAGTCCCTTCAGGTCCTGTCTGGCCTGCTCCCGTCTGTCCTGCATCACCCTGCAATCCATGAAACAAGCATTCATAAGAGTGTGTTACTGAACACTGGTTATGACAGCAACATTTATACAATATTTCCGCGCTGACTAGGCGTGGAGGCATTACGTGAGCTCCTGCAGCTGGCGGCTCTTCTCCTGGTCAGTCGCCTTGAGCTTCTCCAGCTCCACTTTCAGTGTCTCCTGTTCCAGGATGATCTTCTGGTTCAGACTGCACACATGTCAGCAACACCATCAGTACATGGCTGGAGGGAATGTGGTACCACAAGGAGGCAAGAGTGAGCTTCCCCATCCCCTGTTTATATTCATCATACACTATACTCATCCCCCAAAGTTTACATTTTATGTGGGTTAGGTTATCCTTTTAAAAAATGACTAAAACAAAGATGTTGGCCTAGAAACAACAGTAATGACACAAGTTTCCTCCAAGAAAAGCTTGTTATCTGTTCCAGCCTCTTTTCCACTGTATAAACAGCAGACATGGTTCATCGTAGTGTGATGTCAGGGCCATAGACAGCAGTGTTTGTAGAGCGTTGTCAAGAGATTTGTTTAATTTGAATGGCGTCACACTGGACGCCATGTGATTAAAGCTTCTGTGCATGTGAAGCAGTTTGTTAACTTTTTAACTTTTAACTTTCAGCAGCAAGGAATAAACAAGGAAACAGGAATAAAGATGGATATCAGAAGGGGGGCTACTGTCCAATAACACTGGGATCTTTGTTATTACCTAAAAAGCCTTGTAAAGCACAGATTAGTCTAAAATAAGTGTCTGGAATATGCAGTAGGTTAGTTGATGATGCTGTCTTTTGTTTTCCATGTTGAAGGTTTAGCACTGGGCCGAGTACTAACGCCAGCAAAGAAATTACTAAAGACAACTTCTTTCACTGGAAATCAGTTGTTTGAATTTTTAAAAGGTAGTCTTGTGTTACTAGTTTCAGAGGTAACTACAGGGTTAAATCAATAAATCAATCAACTTCATTAAACCTACCACCAGAACAATTTTAGGTGGTTACTTGGAAATCTGCTCCAAATATTCCTCCTCCTATTGTACTCCTGAGGTACAAAGACATGGCAAGGAAACAGTTTGCATCAAGACGCCACTCTATTACCTACCACAGGATGAAAAAATGACCACTAGAAGGACTTCACCTGCTCTTTTACTGTATAAAAATATTTGCCCCCCTCAGTCCCTTTATCTGCTCCGGGCCTGATTTAACCAGACCAGTGTTGGGTGCTGTGGTGTCTTACTCCTGCAGCTCTGTGATGAGCTTCTCCTTGCTGTCCAGCTCGTCTCTCAGGCTGCTGATCTGCTTCTGGTGGGTTTCTCTGTGGAACAGGATCTGCTTCTCCACAGCGTCCTGCAGACACACAGCCAGCCTCTGATTTAAACTTTCACCTAAAACACACCCTGTAAGTGTCAGATTTGGGGTAAAGTACCTTGACTTCGTTGGCTGACTGGATCTCGGTCTCTTTCTCCATGGCATTAACTTTCTCTGGAAGGACACAGAATAATTCATGTTACTGGGTCTCCTGGTATAAAACAGTGGATCTGTTTTAGCTCCTACTGGCACCAATAACAACGAAAATATTGTTTCTCCAATATACTTTTTAAAATTTTTAGTCTATCAATTGGCAAAAAAACCCCTAAACAATTCTATTAAAGTCAGTTTTAAATTACACATCTCTTTTTACAAAGACAAGCAATACCTGAAGCCCAATTAATGGAAACTATTCTGTCAAAACAGTAAACTAGAGGCCTCACAGGTACATGCCCCAGTGGCAGTTTACATCCATGTCTGTTCAGATTTACAGATTCTATGTGGTGAAGATGTTCAAGGATTTTAATAAAAAAAACGTATTAAGTGTATTTGTATTTGACCAATAAAGCTGACTCTGACAGAACACAAAGTTGTAGGTTAAGCGCTATGAGATGACTTGTTGTTGTAAATATGTGCTGTACAAATAAAATTGAATTGAACTGAATTGAATTGAATTAAGGTAGACGATGACACATCTTCAATCCAGCAACCTGGAAGATCTATACGATGAACATGAACACGCCCTGCTGACCTTTGACTTTTGGAATATAAAATGTTTTCGCTGCATGATTTTATCTTATTAGACATTTATATGAAGCTTTGAAATCATTTGTGTATAAACTCCTTAGTTATTGGTCACCAAACTGGAATCATTTCATCCTTCAGTCTAAGTGAACGTTTATACCAAATTTGAAGACATTCACATTAACAGAGGCATAAATACCTTTGTTTATGGAATCTTCCACAATCCTGTAGACATTTAACATTAACATTTGCAATACTTTACTGAAATACAGATTTATATGTTGAAGATGGAAGGATTTTGGAATCTAAGTCTTCCAGTTTATCCAGTATGAAATAATCTATGGGATCTATTCACAAATATGACCATAGTATGCGTCAAGTACTGACTAAAATTAACAAGTCTTGGAGCATCAGAGATAATCTTGTGCACAATCTATAGTTTTTTTACATTCTAATGTCTGAGGAGTTGGAGTTTTCTTTTTTAAATCAATTATATTTATGAAACTTTTACACATTTTTGAGAAATACGTTTCCATAGATATGAGGGACATCGAGGATCTTTATATAAATAAAATAAAACAGTGACTCAATTAGCACATAGAAAGTAGATCTACTTTGTTCTCCAGATTTTCACACTATCAGCAGCGTCTTCAGGATCTTCATCCGCATTAGAAAACAGAATTAACTTGACTGTGTCTGAGTAAGACTGCACAGCTACATAGACTACGGTAATCTGTGTGACAACGTAGTTCCATGTACATCTAAACGTATCCTAACCAATTATAAAGACAGAATGGATTTATGTAAATTTGCATGTTGTGAATGTGTTTAGTCTTTTTGTTTTCATAAAACTCAACAAAAAGAGAATTACAGAAAAAGAAAAACACCACCAGGCTTTTGTTTTGGGCCTGACAGACCTCAGGACTTTGTTCTCCAGCAGCAGACAGCCGTGCTCACCTTGAGCTCTGATCCGGACTATTTCTTCATTCAGAGAGTCCACATTCTCCTCCAGCTGTCTTTTCTTGTGCTCCACGTTCTGCAGGCAGTCTGTCAGGGACTTGATTTTAGCTTCATGCTGCCCAACAACAGGTGAACGAAAGAGAAGAAAGGGGCTCACACACACACTCCGTGACAGCTCTTTTTAAACACTGTTAGACCTGCAGAAACCAACAGCTTGTAATGCCGTTTGATTTATAACCACATGATCTGACATTTTAACTAACGGCCACATTTGTCACTATGGTGACAGCGATGGCAGCTGTGTGAGGCAGCGGTTACCTGGGAGATGCGGAGCTGGCAGGCAGTCAGCTCCCTCTCAGCCTCCTCCAGCTTGTGAGAGCTCTCGGCCTGGGTGCTCTCCAGCTGTTTGCTGCGCTTCACCATCGTCTTCACCTCCGACTTCATCTT